GATTTAGCATGGGTAAAAGACTGAGCTTTAGTCCTCTGCCTTCAAGGGCACATGGTGATTACTCACAGGCTCCTCTAGTTTAATCCAAAAAATCTGCATATGATGTTGATCAAGAGACAGCTAAAGAGATGCTTCTGCTGCCAAAGGCACCAGCAGCAGTTTGGATCCCTGGAAACAGCTGAGCACAGGTCACCCAAGGAGTCTACCCTGACTATCCAGGCACTGGCTTCACATCAGGCAGCATGGATTGAGCACCAGGACAGCCCTGTGAGCCCAAAGCTCATATCCCAGGGAAGTTCATCACCTGCAGAACTCTGACTGCTGCTAAGTCAGCTCTCCACAGCTCCTTGTGAGAGACTGGAAGTGCTTGGAGCTCTCTAAGGTATTAATGCTCACACTGCCCCAGCTGTAGTCTGACAGCAATGGACTCCTCAGAAGGGAAGACTGCCCTACTCCCCAGCACATCAGAACCACCAGCATCTGCCATCCTTATCCCATGTACCTGATTCCCTTATCTCCATGTACCTCCTTATTTCACATTTTTACTCTAGACCCACTTCAGTCTCACCCACAGCACTCCCCCCTCTAAGGAGGAAGAGGAAGAAAACCATCCCCAGCCCTCTGCAGGGCATGACACCCATCTCATCATGAGCATGACCACCTGAGCTGGTACCTCTGCAGGTCTGGGGCAGGGAGACAGGCTCCAGGACAAATCCTCCCCCTGTATGGGCTCATTCCCAGTCCTTGTGCCCAGACAAAAAGCCCAGCACCCAGAGCAGAACAGAGCAAGGACAAGGCAGGATTGCAGGAAGGCTCCCAGTGACCTTACACCCCTGGGCAAGGCTCCTGCAGGGACTTCAAGGCACAGCTCTGACCCTCCACATGCAGTCAGTGGGGGTACAGAGCTCTCCATCTTCTCACATTCAGCCAAGCATCAATTTGCAGCCATCCCCAGAAAACAGGCCCTGAGTTCTCACTCACATCGTGCCAGGGCAGTGAAGGCACACACTGCTTTTCTCCCAGGCCCCACATTCCTGCATCCAGCTCTCATCCACTGCTCTCCCCAGGCTGGGCAGCCTTCCCCACTACTTCATTACCTCCCCTCTACTCCTCACAACCCTCCCTCTACCCCCAGCCACGTCCCACAGCACCTGCACCTCAACAGGACCTCGCACAGCCAAACACCTTTCACCCACTTCTTTATATAAGGGAAGATCCTCCCTCCCCCTTCCCCCAAAAAAATCAGGAGAGCTCCGCAGCTGGCTGCCGGGGGAGGGATGGGCGGGCTCCAGGTGCTGCCTGCACTCACCCCGGCAGCGGTAGGGCTCTGCAAACCGGCCCGACTGGAAAGGAAGCTGGGTAGCACCCGGCAGGGCGCTTGGGTGCTCAAGGAGGCTGTGCCCCTGCAGAGTGGGAGGTGGCTGAGCACAGCCCTTGCTGGCAGCCTCATTTCTGCTCGAGGCTGTTGTTGTCCCCGAGTTCAGCTGGAAGCATTCAGGCTGAACAAGATCTACCGAGTAAAACTCAGTGAGGAGATAAAAAAGCTAAGTCGTGATGGTTTTTAAGCGCCCCCAAGGGCTTTCCCCCCCTCTCTGCTGTGTTCGGGTGTTACCAGTATTGGAGATTTTCCTTATTTATATTAAAATCATAGTCACAGTCTGGTTTGGGTTGGAAGGGACCTTAGAGATCATCCAGTTGTGCCTCTCTGCCATGGGCAGGGACACTTTTTACTAGACCAAGTGGCTCCAAGCCCTGTGTCACTGCTGAGTTTTTCATGCTGTGTTGGCAATCCCAAATCCTGTGTATGGGAGGGGGCTGTGTGTGACTCTGGGGCTTGAGAACAACACTGGTTTTCCTGCAATGACTCATTGCTTGGGAATTCCCAGGTCTAGGCAATTAATTTACCAAATATTTTGATTATCTTTAATAACCTAATATTTATTAAATAGGAATTTTATATAGGACAAGGAGTAATAGGTACAAGTTGAAGGAGGGGAAATTTAGATTAGATATTAAGAAGAAATTATTAACTTTGAGGGTGGTGAGACACTGGAACAGGTTACCAAAGGTGGCTGTGGCTGCCCCATCCCTGGAAGTGTCAAAGGCCAGGTTCAATAAGGCCTTGAACAACCGGGGAAGGTTGTTCAAGGCCTTATTCAAGGGGAAGGTGTCCCTGCCCATGGCAGGAATTAGGACTAGATGAGCTTTAAGGTCCCTTCTAACCCCTTAACATTCTATGATTTGGGAAAACATTTCCACCATGAGGAGTGTTTTCAGACACTGAACAGGAACCCAGAGAGGTGGTGAGATTTCCATCCTGGGGTATGTTCAAAACTTGACTGAACAGGTCTCTGAGGAACCTGATCTCATCTTTTCTGACTTTCCCTGTAATTTTTTCATTGTGAGCTCTCTGGGACAGGACCCACTTAATTTCTTTTCCAGGTGCGTTTCATGTTTTCAGTATTTCATCATTCACCCCCTGCCCTCTCCAAGAAGCCTACAAGGGAAGACAGAATCAAGCAGAAACCTTCTGGTTTTATTGTCATTGTTTTATTTCCATTAGTTCTAAAGGTGTAGAAGTTACATGGATTGGTAGCCATACTACTTAATAATAGATATTTTTTTACATCTTTAAATAATTACAGCTTGTTCAGTTGGTTGGTTTCCCTCTCCCCCTTACAAATAAGTGTCTGTTTCCATGAGACCTTCCCAAATGACCTGGGAAGCTTCAAACTTTATACAGGGAGAGAAAAAAAAAGGCAAAACAAAACACCACCCCTGACATAGCCACAGCTTCAATATTACATTGAGAGTTGTTGATTGGTTCAAAGCTCCCTTGCAATATTCCTGAGCTCCTCCTGATTGCACACTCTCCATCCAAGCCCAAAAGATTGCAGGTGGTCTGTGGATCTAGTCTGATCAATTTACAAAGAATAACTGAAGTGGATCAAGATACTGCACTTCCACAAAGAGCAAAGACATTTAGAAGTGGTTAAATGACCTTTCTTGGCTCCCGATCCTGGTTCTCATCTGCCCATCTCACTTCGGTGGCCACTGGCCACTGCCAGTGCCAAGGTCTGATTTGACACAACCAAACTGTAACCCTTCTGTAAATCCTAGCTGTAAACCCTTCAGCATCAAAATTTTCCTGATTAGGGATGGTATTAAGGGGAACAAATCCCACAAATGCAGTTTTAAATGTGCTGAGGTGTTTTGCAGGAGTGGGCCCTTCCCTCTTGCTCCTCAGGGAAGGGATAGTTCTCGGTGCTGTAGTTGTGTAGGACCTGGTATGAATCTCATTAGGTTCTCCAGCAATAAAAGAAATAATAAAACCAATAATTATTTTACCTTAATGGGTCTCTAATAATTGTATCTAATTCATTACCAAAACAGGCTCTAATTGCCTTCCCCATCACAGGCAGGAAAGCAGAGCTCAGGTAGAACCTGGAATTTTGTAATTGGTTCCTCTTGCTGGAAGGAGCCGAGTGTCCTGAAAATGGTGGCACTTTAATCCTCTTGTCCTGTGAGTATCCCTTGGTCTGTTACTTCTGGAATTTGCCATCCTGCAGGGGCCATCCCAGCTCCTGCCTGCAAGACGTGGCTCTGAGGGATTCCTGGGCTTCAGCCTCCCACAATGACTATTTACATGGGAATCCCCAAATGTGAGTAATTAATTTGCCAGTGATTCTTGGGAAAACATTTCCAGCATGAGGGTGGTCAAACACTGGAACAGGAACCCAGAGAAATGGTGGGATTTTCATCCTTGAGAATATTCAAAAGTTGCCTGAACAGGGATTTGAGAGACCTGATCTCATCCCTTCTAAGTTAATTATTTTGTAATCTGATCATTAGAAGCTCTGAAGAAGGGGGCCCATCAATTATAGCGTGTTTGTACCCTACCAGAAATGGTGATGCTGCATCTGAGATCAATCTCTCACCATCCTGATATCAGCACTGGCCTGAGAAAAACAAAATCTCTTGGGCCAACAGCAGCTCTACAACATTTTTGGATCACTGAAAAGAACCACAGAACCTGGTGTATCCAAACTTCTGCTTCTGGTACAGAAAGGGGGACAAAAGAGCTAATTTCTAGCCCTAAAGAGTTGTCCTCTACCTCTAAAGCTGTCCTCACAGACCCCAGAGCTTCACCTTTTGAAAGCAGATATCTTGTTCTGTTATCAGGGACTTGTAAACACTCCTCACTCTGTTTCAAGAATTGTTTTTCAGGCTTTGAGGAAGGCTAAAATCCAGTTCATAAATCTCTACCAAGGAGACATAGGCAGATATGTTCTGCAGGGATCTTTCCTCCTGGCATTAT